GTTGGATCAGCAACTGCTGCAGAAGGGTCGTCAGCACTGTTTGATGGCTTGCCTGCTACTGGTGAGGAACTCTACGTTATGTTGTCTGTTTCGGGTTGAAGTTGCTTTCGGCTTCGGTATGCACTTGGCCTGACCTCTTGCTTTGAATCTGGGGGCTTCTCATCTTGGGCTCCACCGGTTGGTGATGCTCCGGGAGAAACAACTGCCGCGGGAGGCTGCTGTTTGCGATTTTTGTAGCCTGGCTTTGCTGAAGTTTGAGGCTCCTGAATTCCATCCGCATTTGGGCCGGGCGGAGCAACTTGCTTGCGAGCTTTATATGCACCTTGCCGAACAGTCTCACCTCCTTCTGCAGGATCCATGTCACCAGCGCTCTCTGCAGCGCTTTTGCCAGCTTTGGATTTTTCATCACCTTCTTTCGCAGTCTTCCCGGCGTTTCCTGGTAGCAAGCTTTCAAAGCTCGTTGCTTTCAAACGACGCTTGGATTGTGTTGCACAAGGAACCTCAAGCTTCCGGGAGCTTCATCCTATCATTCTTCGGAACTTGTTGCATAACGGAAATGAAGAAAGCACCCATAAACGTGAACCCAACAAATGCACGTCTGTCATCAAGCTCCCAGACTGTCCTCGCGTTACCGGAGCACTTGCTTCAGTCCTGACCAATGTCATGAGTATTCAGAATTCATGAGTCATGCACCATCAAAGCGTCATGTTCAAGTGTCAACACTTCATGTCCCTGCTTTGTGCATCGGTTCCCGTCAATATGCCTCTCCTGGATCGCCTAGCTCGATGGCGTTCAGAATCCGAAGATGACCTCAATCAAGTCTCGGTCCGGACGAGCAAAGGATTGGATTCACTTGGAAGGTTCGTGCATTGCTTGCATTTATTCTTGCAAAAGCAATATTGCACAAACCAAACCGAAACAAAAGCTGGGCAAAAATCGGAACAATGTGCAATGGTTCCAAATGTTCCCCGGCATTGCTGGCACTTTCCTGGGCCCATAATTGTTACTCATGTTCGAATGGCTGCTCCGTATGAACGGCCTCAGCTCTACGACAACCCTGCAGCGTTCTCAAAAAGTCCCTGTCGTCGCCAGGTGACGCTTCTCGCCGACGAGGTTTCTCACCTCGCTGTGACATGATTTAAGCAGCAAACGACGAGTCGCAGCAAACGGGTCAAATGTCAACGACTCAAAAAAAGCGTCCATAACGTGCGCATGAACACAGGGTAGAAAAGCCGATGTTGGTGTTGCTGCTCTATAATTGAATGGTTCCACTGTTTCTGGTGGGATTCTCCAAATACAAGAACCCCAAAAAAGCACCCAGGCCTTTCTCATCTGCACTTGACCTGCAAATTCGTGGCAAGGATCACCGATGAGCCCACGCCAAGATCTACAAACTACAAACAATCTCCTACCAACCTCTAAAAGTACAGTAACTAGAGGCTACTAGGTGGAGGCCATCGTTATTTGGTTGGAGGCCATCGCTACTAAAGCTTTCTAGAAACATATAATCAAAAATATACCGCGCCGTTCCGCATCACAGACTTCACGCCTTTTGGAAAGAATGCTCGCTCGTGGTTTCTCCTCCACATGCTTCAGTATTCATTGTGTCATTGCTGAGTGATCATCATATCATCACGTTTGGCCAATTCGTCTTCTCAGTCATCAAGCCACATCAAGGTATGCTGGAGCCAACTCAGCTCCCTCCTGCAAATCTTTGAGTTTCTGCTCTGGACGACGAAAGCAAACATAGACTCCACCAGCGGCCAATACAACCTGAGCTTCAAGCAAGTCCATTTCATGAAGACCATAACCCAAATGCCACACAACCATTTGCTAATGCCTACTGCACCTTGACATGCATGTGTGTGTGTGTGTTGCATCAACGAAAGTAGACAGTATCTACAGCGTAAGTCATACGTCAAAGAACCTGCTAGCATAACCTAAAAGGATATCGTGTAACTAAATTGCTTCGTTTACGATGCATTTGTGGGTTGGATGGTGTTACGCTACATTTACCATTAATACAAAGGTCCAAGTGGAGTTCAAAAGGAAAAAGCCGGTGAAAAGGATTTTCAAGCAGGCAACTGCTGCCAAAGCAAAGATCCAGTTTTGAGGTGGCGAAGCCTGGCAAATTGAAGCAGGAATCAAAGCCATGCACAGCCATGCAGCTTATCAGACCCACCACGCACACTGCCAATGCCAACCATCAAGAAATCCACGCCTGCTGGTCTTTGTTCTGGTCTTTGTTGTCTGCTTTCTTGGTACCCTCGTCCTCCTCATCGTCTTTCTCTTCCTTAGTCTTTTGACGTGCTTCCTTCACAGTTTTTGGGCCAGTCATTGCCACTGCTGTTGTTGCTGCTGATATGGCGGTGGTCGCTGGTGATGCTGTGGTGACCGCTGCTGTCGCAGTGACCGCCGCAGTAGTGGCACTGGGTCCAGCAGGGGCAATGGTGGCAGGAAGCACTGTTGTCGCACTGCCAGACGCACTCCCAGCAATGCCGGTGCCTTCTGTTGCCGTTGAGGGCACTTGCCACTCGCTTTCGCTTTGCTTACTTCGTTCACTTCCCACGGCCTCCCAGGCTCCCGAATTATCTTGGGGGCCACACGCGATCAAGTTCAAAGCTTGGAATTGAAAGCTGCCTGACCGTTACCAAGTGGTGAAATATAAACGGCTTTTAGGGTCTTGACTTCATCATTCTATTTTTGTTGCTTCATCGTGAGTCATTTACTTATATACTCAATTGTACCGTATTTAGTGGGTAAGGTAAGTGCTGTCTGCATCGCCTTTACATACTCTTGCAACAGGGCTTCACCTGTAGAGCAACAAGGACATGCTCTCATATTGGATCATCAAATACGCGGTTTTCCAAATCGACGAGGCTTCAATCAACATCTAGCACGGCAGGCTGCAAGATAACGAAGCACTGAAAAAGCTCGATCTGGGGCTGCCACGACGAACGATACTCGTGTCGACAGCCTCAGAATGTCCCCTTGAGGCCCTGGCCTCTACCAGTTTACAAGTCCGCACTTGATTAAAGCATCAACATAACCAAATAAACCACGTTGCACATCCATCTTTCACTTGAAAGGAAAAGTGGAAGCGTCGGAATCCAAGCACCCAGCACTCGCAAAGAAGCAGCAGAGGATGACCAGAATCCAGACTCTCATGATTTGCGAGACATAGCAAGAAGTGCATTAACCAGCCAACATCTGCAGTTTCTTGTAAAAAGTGTAAGGGTGTATATTACTGCCATCAAAGCTCCAAGCGTTACGTATGTAACAGCTTAATGTGTACGCAAAGAACCTGCACGCCCTCAGAGATTCTGAGACGTGAAGGGAAAGACCTGCTAAGAAGGACTGCAAATGTCCACGGGGCCAATGCAGGTCTTTGGAAAAAGCAAACAAGGTCTTTGGGTTGTTTTTTTCCAAGTAAAGGGGCCCAAACACATATTTTGTTATCTAAGCTTCTTGTCTTCCAACTTGATTCATCTGGGTTCATCTCCTTCTCCACAGTCGTTACAGAAAAGAAACAAATGGGTTGTAGTCGTAGATGGTTCTAACACATCAGTCTCAATTTCAGCGATTTCCTTTGGAATCGGCTTCACTTTGCACAAGCTCCACACTAAAAGAAAGGGACTGCCAGTATCCACCACGCCGCGGAACAGCTGTCCACCTCAGATCCACCGCATAACTCAGGCCTTCAAGACATTAGCAAAGTCGACAACACCTTGCCCCTCGTTTGCATCTCTTTTCTGAGCCGACGCAAGCAACAGCTCTACAATTTGCCAAAACTATCACCATCATCAACCTTAAAGATAGATTCCCAGCATGAGACATACAGCAACTTGAGGCGACAACATGCGCTGCCCCAAATGCTGGTCAACTCGTGCGGCTCCAGGTTCACCCAAACAACACACCCACTGCTTCCAGCCACTGCAAACCGAAGAAGTGTCTGGGAGCACATCAAACTATATAACTGCCTTGGGTGATCTCCTTTGGAGTGTCTTGCGGTTTAGAAAATGTGGAGGCTGCGATTAGACTCGACTGAATTATGAAAACTTGGAAGTCTTCCGCCTTTTTGAAAGTCTTCAGTCTTTGTCAGCCTGAAAGCTTGCAGGCAGAGTTTGAAAACCCCAAGGGCATCTGCATGGCTTGGCATACACGATATCCGGAAAATGTTTCTGCCGTGGCTTAGCAGGAATCTCATCTGAGACGCGGCAAACAAATACTGAAGCATGCATGCATATGTATACATTGGCATTGCTGCTTTCAAATGTAATGAGGATGCCATTCCCGCTGAAGGCGTAACAGTTGCTCATGATGCCCTTTCACCAACTTGTTGATATCACGCAAGGATACGCAAGGTGTCTTCGGTGTCTTCTTGCAAAGCGATCAAAAAGACCCTCGCTTACTGCACCACACATCGAAGAACCAAAACTCAGCCTGTATTGTAGACAATTGGAGCTCGAAGACACTTTATTGTCTGAAAAGGCTGCTTCCATTGGATTGCTGGGATGCAAGCTCAGCATGTTGAACAAATCAGCTTTCAGCATAGACTATCTAAAACTAGCACTGTTCAAGGCTGTGTGCAAAGCCGAGGATCGCTGTTAAGTTTCTGTCAGAAACAAGAAACAAACCGAGTAAGTCAAAAAGCCATAGACTTTCTACTAATGATGGCATGCATCAGTTTTCAAGCAACATCTCTCGAAGCAAGTCAGGTTGAGATCGCCAAAATCTCCGCATCTTCTGCTTGATCGCACAGCTCCTAAGGTGACAGGAAAATGGCTGTGGAGCTTCAAAGACAAATGCCAATTGGAATCAACATATATTAGAATTGCAAAGGACAAGAAAGTGGTAGCACGGTTGCGCAGTTGCAAAATAGCAAAAGTGCCGAACACACGCCAAAATATGAGCCAAGCATGCCACTTGGACAAGGGTCAATACAAGAATCAGCGCACAAACACCCACAAGGGACCAGAGCTGCAGATCCGGCGCTACCTGTTTCGGAAGAACCCACTTCAAGACTCAAGAATGCTGCGAGGAACGTATATCACGGAACCTAGAATCTAGAAAAGGAGTCCATCATCCATGTTGTCACATCCATATGAGCACTGAAGGTCCCAAAACGTGCAAAACCAGAATGCTGGCGGCTTGCAATCACACAACACTGACAAGGAACACTCCTGAAACTCAAGTTGGGTCTTGCTCTTTGAACTCTATCCATAGCTACGAGCAACAAGTGTATCGCTACTAGTAGCAAGGACGCTACTAGTAGCTAGGACATTCCTAGTAGTAGCAAGAAGCTACTAGCAACAAGTGCATCGCTACTAGTAACAAGGGCATCGCTACTAGTAGCAAGGACGCTACTAGTAGCTAGGGCATTACTACTAGGAAAAAGTAGCTGCTAGGGGCTCCTGGCATCGCTACTAGGAGCAAGGACGCTACTAGTAGCTAGGGCATTACTAGTAGTAGCAAGATTCTGACACTTGGCTTCGCGCCTTCCAAGGTGCCAACAATAACTTGCAGACCTTCCACTGCAAAACAGAATCCTCGAGCACACTGCAGTTTTCGTTTAAGCAATCGGATCTTGTGTAGATTATAGATGATTAAAAATGATTATAGTGGGTTACTCTATATTACAATTTGCATTTGGATTACAACTCAATGTCAATGTAGACAGTGACCGTGTTGATTGCTCAAAACGCTTAGATCTACCCAGTTTCCTTGCCTCGATCGAAAGTCACTGAGTTTGGTCAAGGGTCCATGATATGAAGCGCGTCCGGAGCGTAACCTGAAGTGGCTTCACACTATGCGAAAGTGCAGCCATTGTTTGACGCTCAAAGGAACTACTGTCTCAATTGCTGTTGAAGCACGGTAGCCAAGAACCAGAGATGCGGCCTGCAAGAGGCTCCTGATCCTCGGACAGCTTAAAGCTGCAATGACTAACGTCTTTAGCATAAGGTAGTCAACATGAGAAGTTTTTCTTGCTCCACTGGTGTACAAACAGTAAGGAACCAAGACACGCTTCAGCTTCAAGTATCTTCAAATTGTCAAAAGGCATCAGTGTCTTCGGTAAAAGTTATACTGTCAGAAAAGAGTTTTGTCCCGGACAAAGCCCCATAAATCAACAACATGCTACGAAATTAATGCTGCAGGAAACAACTTACAGCGATTGAATGACTTAAGAAGCTGTGCTGATTGTCCTGTCAAGTCGAGCATGCTTCCTGTCTACTCTACTCTGAAATGCATTTCAAAGTGGCAGCGCGAAGAATGCTGCTCGGAGTGGCCTTGGGGCTAAATTTCTAAGCTTCAATCTGCCTTCATGCACCCTGCCCCAGCTATCATCTCGTCACAATAACCACACAATGCAATCCAAATTTCGAACCTAATGTCACCAAATGCAAACTGACCAAAGTCCTCTACAGTCATCTTGAAGTCATCTTGTCATGTCCTGCTCTCCAAGCGGCATAAAGTGTGACGCATGGTCTTTTGACCTGAACACTCACCACTCGATGTTTCAGGCATGAATGTCTTGTGCTGTTTCACTCATCCTGTTGAATGTACGTATCTCGACAAACGGCAAACTTGTGCATCAAAAAAATAAGAGAAAGTATGGCCGGAATCTAGAGGACCTAGCAAATCGTGTTTGATCGTTTTTGGCATGGGAACACCTTGATATGTCTCAATGTAATCTACATGTTGGTCCAATCTCATGCGCATCACCCGCCAATGTCACTGGTTCACAAAAATTCACAACATGGTCATCGATGTTCACAACAATCGAATGACTATGTGATCATATAAATTAATATATATATATATATAAATATATTGGAGTGGGGGAATCCGGGTGTGGTGGGGTTGGGGTGTTTCTCTTTGCTGCTTCCAAAGACCCCTCAACACTTATACGACATCTCACCATCTACACGCCTTTGGCTCAAGGGCTAGAACGGAAAAGCACTTGCTGCTTGGTTTAGAATCCGTTCGCACTAACCTTTTGCATTCTCATCACACCTAGATCTCTTGTGAGTCCATGTACCCTCCTGTTGGGTCCTGCTGGGACCGACTATACTCCGGTCATGGGGTGGGTCATCATCTTCAACCTATCACAGCATCTTCTTCGTCATGATCGCATCATCCCCACTGGGCGTGAGAATCCGAGTTCCGTAGGATTTCAGCATCATGCAACGTGTTACAGTAAAAAAATAGAAAGAAACGAACAACAGTCCACACAGCACAGCATTTCGATAAGAGATTGCCCGGGCCGCTAAGGGAACACCCTACATCGTTTTCCATTCACGACACAGTGTTTTGGAGGTTCTGTGAGAGGACGGACCAAAAGCACAGAACATGAATCGAAGCAAGACCAGCTAGCTCATGGCAAGGGAGGACAGCGGAGAAAGTTGACACCCTCTTTAGGGATTGATATTTCTTGGTGCTTGTCGACCGCAAAGGAATTTGACGGAATCTGCATGCGTGCTCCTTTGAAGCGTTAAAAATATAGCGTGTGAAGTACCGGCAATGGGTCAGGTGTAGTATAGACTAACGAGTGCAAATTGACAAATATATATGGACAGTTTAGTAGAGTAGAGTATTAAGCAGGAAGTATATACTGTAAAGCACAACGAAAGGTATGATGGATCGTAGAGAATGGCCCTTGGAGAAAAGATCTAGTGTCTGTGAGAGCCGTCTTTGGCAACGCTACGACCTAAAACAAGTATGGCCGGACTGCTCTGCCTCCGTCCACTCTTGCCATCTCGCCTAGTTCGCTGTACTCTGCCCTGTCAGAGGGAGAGGAGCGAAGAACAGATTTGAAAGAGGCAAGGCAAACCCGAGTGAATACAAGCCAGGACAGAAGAGTAGAGCGTGGAAGAACGATGGAATCGAATCTAGGCATGGAACTGGGCAAACCGAAGTCTACGAAAGTACGGGATCAGTCTGAGTGTAGAGGGCTCTTTGTATGATATGTACAGTATGGAGATAACACTGAGGATGATAAAGTAGCAGAAAAGACTGTATAGTATCGAGTCGTATCAAGTATAGACTTTGTAGAGAGGAGGCAATATAGAACGAAAGCGGAAAGGAAAAAGAGAGGCAAGGACCCGATTGAAGGGACCCAAACACCTTTCTCTTTTCTGTTCCGCGTCTGATTTTCCGTTCCGTCCGTTGACACTACAAGCGAAATCTTCAGAAATGTGAAGCAGCCCAGCCAGCGGTTTTTGTTTGTTGATGAACACATGTTGGAATGAAACATATTGGGAACTGAAACCCGCTCTATCTACCCTTTGCTTTGAACTTGTTCCATTTTATGTCTAAAAAACTTTCGGATGTTGGTTGTTTCTGGCGGTTTGTACAGTGATGACAGTAATGTAAGTAAAACTCAAGCTGCCTCATCAGATTTCATAGGTGTTACACAGGTCCTTACTTGTTCTGTGACTTACCTGGCCTACCCAACCACATTGAACACCTAGGTCTCCTCGAGCGCCCTGTGTGTCACTGTTGCTGCGCTGCTCTTTGTGCGCATAGTTGCGCAAAATTACATCTTGGATGTCGGTGCCGCGGTTTTCAGATATTCCGGAGTGGAATGCATAAAGAAGCCGAAAGCGCCAGGGCGCCAGGGCCAACAGTCAAGAAACTATACACGAGATTCGGCAGCTTGGAATCTTTGGAACT